GAGGAACCATCTGAATTTAATTACCAGGATAAATATACTCTTGGTGACATAATCTTTGACCTGCAGCAGACAGGAAATCAAAACCAACGATTCATCCAGATGCTCGGATCAGCCTAATGTTTAGTAACAAGAAATGAAATAAAAGCAGAAGATGATCATCCACCCTGGCGTGGCTCATGTCACGTAAAGGGAGGTGTTAGAGCTACCGCCAGTCTGCCCTGCCTTTAGGAAAGAAACAAATAGGGATCGTTGCAATTGTCACTAATACACAGAAAGCATCTTGAGCCTTAGTTGCAGTGTGCAGAGTTGTCGTAAAAGAGTTTCTGTACAAAAAATCCTCATTAATTCTTGGCATTCATGTCTGTGTGAAGACATTTGCATCTGTTGAAGGGAAGCAATCTAAATCTAGGGCAGAATCCCATCTGTGCTAGAGATATTTTCTCTGCACTGCAGCTCTCAATTGCTTATTCTGTACCCGTTTCTCAGCCTAATCGTAAACTAACACGGGTGGAATCTCTGTGAGCCGGAGGGTGTGGGCTCTGAATATCGCTGATGAGATCACTGAATAACACACCACTGGCTAGGGATGTGCGGGATGGTGGGGAAGGCAGGAGGGCTGCTGCGGAGAGAGCACGGAGCAAGGTGTGCAGCCTGGGGCTGGAGCTGTGTACCTGCCCTGGCGCAGAGTCCCCAGAGGTGAGGGTCATCTTGGGTTTTGGGAAGAGAACACAACAGCTACTTCTGACTTTGCCTACTTGGCTGGTCATGAGAATCCTCCAAGTGAACACCTCCAGGCTTCAAAACAGCAGTTTTCCCAGCTGCGGGCAGGTAGTACGGGATGTCTGCAGCCCTTGTTGGGTTTCTGTGGGTCTCTTCCACCTCTTCAGAAGAGGCGAATGTTGTCTTCACCTCAAACCTTCCTTTTGGTGCCTGCATTGCTCTGCAGAGCGGGGGTTTGATTAGGTGCCTGGAAAGCCATGTGGGTAGTGAGAGGTGTAGAGGAGAGCATCTCTCAGCCCGGGACGACTCCGTCCAGGTGGCTGGATCCCAGGCTGAGTTCCTAGGGAGATCGGACCCAGCATGCTCCAGGGTTCTGCTGCATTGCAGAGTATCTTCGCTCCCCAATTCTGTTTCTTCTCGTTCCCCAAGCAGCTGGAAATGCCAAATTCTGGCTTTATGGTCATCTTTTATTAGTTTAAGGAGTCTTGCTCCCATTTGTTACAGCTGACAAAACTCTGTGAGATGTTTAAAGGCGTTCTGAAATTTAAGGAGTTGATACCCCAGGCACCAAGGAAGATTTTTTTCTTCTGTTAGTGGCATGATAAAGATCTAATTGCTCCGCTTATTTAAAATTTAAAGGAAAATAATGTATGCAGCCTTTAGTAGTTTAAAACTGAGATAAGTCATTGTAGGGACTAGAAATGACTTTTAAATCTTTTTATTGCAGTGTTTTTCATATTTAGTGAAATGAATGTATGGAAATACGCTGGTGTGGTGTGGTTACACGTTCTCCAGCCAACACTGGCAGCGCTTCCACACTTCCCAGTTCAGACTCAATGTAGGGCTCCCAGGTAAAGGTTGCACTGCTCTTCTTTTTGTCTCAGGAAGGGAGGTTTGGAAGACGAACGAGTCCCCTAGCGCTGGGTCTGTGTGTGGGCAGTCAGCCCCGTCCGTGGGGACGCGGGCAGGACGGCAGGACAGCCCCGGCTGGAGCTCCCTGGCCAGCCCCGTTCCCACCAGGAGCAGCAGGACAAAGTGTCCTGGAGCCCAGGTGTGAGGTGCAGTGCAGCACCCCATCCAAAGTGCTCGTGGTGGCTTGGGGCCAGCCGGGACAGCCCTGCGGCGTGGGGAGCAGCCTAATCCTGTCCTGGTCCTCCAAGGCACAAGGCACAGCCTGCGCCCCTCCTTGGGTCTGCTCCCTGAAACCCAGCTCCCGTGCTTTAACCGCTTGCTCTGGCTCAGGCAAAACTAGGTCAAGTTTCCTGCAAACCTGAAATCCGTCTGGAGTGCCCTGAGCTGATTTATGCATGCATATATATGGGAAAAAAAGGCAGTTTGACTGAATTCTGCTTTGAATTTTGGGGTTTCTTTCATCTCGGCACTCCTGGAAAATGAAAGCAAAGGGAAGTAATTGCTGATGCCCGAGAGTCTCCGGCTCTCTGTGGGCAGGGTGGTTTTGCACTGCGCTCCGGAGCTCGCTGTGCATTCTGCTCTCGTCCTGTGCTGGAGCTGCAGAGCCGGGAAGGCTCCCGCAGCTGCACAGGCGGACACAGCAAGGGTGCTGCTGAGCTGTGGTGGCTGCCCGGCACACAGTACGCCCAGACCCTCGTACCAGCTAGCTCATTCATTTTGTTCTGTACATTTAAAGTGAGAAAATTTGTAAGGATGTTCTTTGTGTTGGAGAGTGAGCTAGTGAGTCAGAATAAAACAAGTCTGTTATTATTTGTTCATGCATTTATTATTAATCTTTACTATTATTATTATCATTAATAATGTTATTCATTGATTTTAAAAGCTACACCTCTTTTTTGAACAAAATGAGTAGCATGGATTAGACAAGTAACTTGCACAGTAGCATTGGCAATGAACAGGGCAACCCCCCAAATGCGCTCAAAATATGCAGAGGAAGTCAGAGGAAAAGAGTGAGGTGTGATAACACCAAAGCCGTATCTAAAACCCTCTCTGATGTTGCCCAGGAGCAGACGCTTGGTGCGGGAGATGCTTAGAGCACTTGCTTAGTATGAGCAAGGCAGATACCCAGTGATGTTTCTCCTGGTACATGCTCCTGCTTCCAGCAGTCTGTAGATTTAAGCATCCTGATCTAAGGATTGCATCTCCTGTTTAATAGTTCTTGATGGATTTTTTCCTCTGTGAATTGGTGTAAGTGCTTTTGTAGCCTGTGCCAGGCTCTGGGCTCTGCAGCAGTCTTGCTGAAGAGCTCCCACTCTCTGGAGCACTGTGTGGAGGAGTGCCTCAAAAATTACCAGGTTTGCTTTGATCCTGTCACCTGATAATTACATGTGATGCCACATAGTTCCCGTGTTACGAGAAATAATGACAGATCGTTCCCCATTGACTCCCTCCGTGACTCTCATACTTTCCTGGAGTGTTGGGATAGTTCTCGGATGGAAAAGCCTGGGTCTGTGTGTCCCCTGGAAGCTCTCCCGTTCTCCAGCTCACCTTCTCACCCTGCCTCGGCCTGTGTTTGCAGTTGTGCTTTGAGTCATTGCTGGGTGACAGCACTGATTCGTTTAACTCCTGGTTAGGGACTGGAGCAAGAGCTAAGGGCGCTGTAAACCAGAAGCTTTCCCCACCGCAGTTGTTTTCCCAAATCAAAGAGAAGAAAAGCCTTCCCGTGTGTGTTCTCCAGGCTGCAAAGGTGGCATTGGCAAGTGTGAGGCCAGCTGCAGTTGTCTGAAGAAGCCTTGTTTTTACTTGTATATACTCCACCAGTCAAGCTTCACCTATGAATTTCTCTTTCTTCCCCCAGTGGAGTTGCTCTTTGCCTAACAAATGTCAGAATTTGCACGTCACTGCACGTGCATCACATTATTTTTCTTTCTGTCTTCCTATCAGCAGATTTTTATACTTTCTTCCTCCATTTTCAGGCCCGAGTGTGATAGCTGCAAATGCAAAAGGATTGCTGTGCCTGCCTAGAGGTTTCATCAGCCTCTGAGCCGGCAAGCCGATGCCCTTCTGGTCTCTGCTCTCACCTGCATAGGTGTAAATCAGGAGCAAATCTCTGGATGCTGCAGCCCTGTGAACAATTGAGAACCTGCTTGGACCTTCTCTCTGGGCTGTTTTTACAGTGTAAATTGGGGGAGCAGGATAAATAATGTGTTTTTCCAACCCCAAACACCACCCTTCACCTTTGCTGTCAGCATCACCCCCAGTGTCGCTGGCTGGGGCTGCTCGGGCAGCATGCACAGCTTTGCGGAGAATCTCCGTGTCCCTGGCACAGCTGGGGGGGCCCCGCAGACCCCCCGCAGTTTGGATGGGGCTTGGCCTGCAGTGTGCTGGTCCTTGGGCAGCGCGGCATCACCATGGACACCATCGGCCAGTTGCAGCAGTTGGTGGATCACTGTCAAAAGAGTTTCTTGACCATAATCATAATCTTCTCGTTGCTTGTTCAGTTTCACAGATGTAAGAACATACATGTATTTCATATGGCAGCCCATCTCCTTGTCTCCAATTTCCTGTGCTAGCTCGTGAAGCATGTTTTTTCTTCAAGAAAATAAGCAGTATCTCAGGAAGAGCTGAAATGTGGTTTTCATTTACTATGCTATAGAAATGACAGATTTAGAGATTTCCCTTTGTGTTTATTCTGTGTACTCATTTAATTGAATTCAAGGTTGATTTACCAGTTAGGGGTTACAATTAAAATAATTAATGCCTCTGTTCTGAGGAAAGTTCGTAAGGGCTGTATTTTCCTCAAATAATTTGGAGGGCTTTCAGAAAGCTCAGCTGCAGAATAGAAGAGAGGCACCATTCTTCAATGAAATGCAGCGGGAATTAATACGTTTGCTGATGCCTACGAATGTTTAGTTCCATTAAAAGTCTGTGCTGTCGCTCGTGCAGAGTAGAGTGCATGGAAAACAATCCGGCATACCTCTGGTTATGGGTGGATCATTCTTTCCCCGTTGCATGCCACAAGAGATGGAGGTACCTGGCTTCGGATGAGTTGTGCTGTGGCTGGCGGCATCGGCTGCGCCGGGTGGAAGGGCTGAGACCGGCAGTTCGTGGTCTGTGCTGGCCCTGGGCTGGGCAGCGGTGGCCAGCAGGCAGTCGTGGAGCCGTGCATCTGGAGCTTCGTAGGCTGCCAGTGTAAACAGCCTGTGGCCTTTTTTCTGCTTTATTTGCATGTGTATTGTCCGATGGTCGTCTGCTCTGCAGAACTGAAAGATGTCTGCATTTTCACCCAGCAGAGGAGTATTTCCATTCCTTTATTCTTACCGCCTAAAACTAGTCTTGTGATTGATGAGCGCTGTTTTTGTTTGCAGGTATAACACCTTGCCAAGCCGAAGAACACTAAAAAATTCCAGATTAGTGAGTAAAAAAGATGATGTTCATGTCTGCATCATGTGTTTACGGGCCATAATGAATTACCAGGTATTGCCCTTTTTGTTCTTTTGGACCACATACTTGTTTTGTTGTTGGGAGGGGGGAGGAAAAGGTTAGTGGTGAATTGTTAAGGTAAAACTGATGCAAAGGTTTAAATTCTTGCTCATTCTTAGGCAGTGTAGCTGGGAAGCAATATAACACAGTCCTTGTGTACCCATGCAGATGATTTAGTACAGATGTGAAGACACATAGATAAGAGCATGTGCGTATCGGGCCAGTTCCCGTTTGCAGGGATGGGCTCAGTTTGCACTAACTGATTAGACATGCAGCTACACAACTGAAGTTATAGTTTCTCTCAGAATTTAGTACTAACACTTAGGAAATATGAGAATTTTTCAGAAGAGCTATACACTGATGGAAAACCCAAGCTTTCACCCTTCTTACATGTTTATCGCAAGGCAATTGCAATAACTGCAAGTCAAAGAATAAACTAGACCAAAGCTAATCTTATTTTCATGAGTTTCTTTTCTCTTCAGTGGAGTGCTGTGATCATATGGCATGCCCAGGTAGCTTCAGAGACTTGGGATTTTTTGCTAAAACAGTAACAGCTAGAAGTTACGTGCTTCAAAGAAGGGCTGTGGTGAACACCTTTATTGCAAGTTGTGTGGTCGTGCGAGGTATTTCTAACACGGCTGCGTGTGTGAACTCTGCCCTTGGGGACACCAGCCCCCTGGGATTTACAGGGTTTCTTACCTCTGATGGGCAAGATGCAAACAACAATCTTGTGCTAATAACCAATACAGTATTTTCCAAAGCAGTTCTTTTTTCATTTTTGGAGAGCAAAGCCAGCAGTATTTGTGCAATAACTGCATGATGCAGTCGCTCTGTGGCAGCATGCATGCTGGAAAAGAAGTGATTTTGGCAGCTGAATTGCAAATTCCTCTTTGGAGAGTAAATGATGCGCTTGAGTGTCAGAAATAAAAAGAGAAGGGAGGGGAAGGGATGAGCAGAGGGGTTGGCAGTGGTGCAGGAGCAGCTCTTGGGCCCCTTTTTGTTGGCTGACATGGCAAAACCGAGTACTTTTGACACTGTTAGTGGCAGAGAAGTTGTTAGGCACAGTGGTAGATGGAAATGTGCTGGCTGACCTGGTAAACTCAGCTTACAGCATTGTGAAAGACTGCTGCCAGGTCTGGTCAGAGATACGTAATTTGTTGGATTTTAAAGACAATAATTCTAGTCTCAAAACTGAAACAATATTTTCCCCTTCTCTTTTCAGTATGGATTCAATATGGTCATGTCGCATCCACATGCCGTTAATGAAATTGCACTAAGTTTGAACAACAAGAATCCCAGGTAGGCTGCACTTGCTTTTAGAGAGTGTAAGAAGTAGGTAAGTAAAGAGTACATGGAAAGGGTTTTTCAGGGGTATGTTCATGCACAAACCTATAGCAAAAATCAGACTTCATTCTGAATCAGATTAAATCTGTATTATGGTGCAAATAGATGAGCAATTGCCATCTAGTTCCATTGGTTTCAGGAGCTACTGACTCTTCAGCTGAAAATTTGCTGCTTAAGCACTCCAGCTCTATTGCAGTGCAAAGAAGACCCTGCTGATAATGAGCAGCTTAGCATGGGATTTTCCTGAAGGAAAGGAAAAGCTTCTTACCTAGATTTTGTCTGAGGGGTCCTTAGGTTTGCATTTCTTTGACAGAGGGTCTCATTCTTGTTCTGTATCGGGTTGCTGTTCAGCCGCAGCAATAACGCTGTAATTGCACAGTGGAACTGATGGCTGCGAGGCTGTCCCTCCCTCCTCTCCCCGCACACACGTGTGACCCCGGCAGCCGCTTCCAGCAAAGCCTGGAGCTGCGAACCTCTTGCATGTCTAACGAAACCAAACCTGACATACTGATGTTTGCAAGAAAAGGTAAAACTGGGGGATGAGACAAAACTAAACAGCACTATATGTGTATATATATAGCTTTTGCTTAGGCTGTCCGCTTGCCTTACAGTGCACTGCTTGAAATCTTGTCCTGATGGAAGTAGGTACTTCCTTCCTTTCTTTTATTTAGCCCTTAGTCAGCAAGCCTGGGCACAGCATACATGGGAAGGGTAGAGGAAGTTTGTTTTTATCATTTTTGGTGTCCTGTGCCTGGAAATCAGGTGATCAAGAGAGAGCCTAAGTTTTCATTTTTGAAAGAAGTGAGTTATTTAGATTTCTGTTTATTAAAAAAAAAAAGCTTTCAAACATGGCTAAAATAATCTGAAGACAAAACTTAATGTTAGTGCTGTTCAAAACCTAATTTCTTTTTGTTTTAGCTCCATCATGATTTTTGAAAAAACCGGAGGTTTGAGTGCTTAGGGTTGTCTGATATGTGCAAAAACGGAAACAGCAGCTCTGAGAGATGCTGCAGAGCTGATCCCATCCCCAGACCGTGCACACTGCGGAGCTAAGTGCCGCAGGAGTGGGCGGGCCAGGTGGAGCATGGATGTAGGGACTCCGTCTCCTCTGGCTGTGCCCAAGCGGATGGCACAGACACAGCCGTCACTGTCCTCTCCCCGTCCCCACCCCAGATGCGTGGGCAGCCGGCGGGTGAGCGCTCCAGGCAGCATCGGAGACCTGGGCATCCCCCTGGGCCCTCCGCTCACAGAGATCGCTCTCCCTTCTCCCCGCACACACGGTTCATAGCCCGCCCTTGGAGGGGATATTACTGAAGATCTGTAGTAAGAACCCCTTGATCCTGTCTGAAAGAGCTTGGATTTTCTTCTTGTGGCAGGAAAAAAAATCGATGAGTAAGAATTGAAAATGATACATTTAAAATTTCCTAGGAAAGTGAACATTTTATCTGGTTTCCAAAGATAACCTTGACACTTTGAAAGCCAAAAGGTATTTCTTTTTCTGTAACATCTGGTTTGAGTCATGGCTTTAGCATGAGACTAATTTCATATGTGTCTGCATGATTTTAATATCTGCTCAGAGCTCATCTGACCATAAAGTCTGGTTGGTGCTTTTGCCTTATGTGAACCCTATAAGAAAGTACTGGGGATTATTTATACTGGAGTCACACTGAGTCTATTGCATGCTTTTCTTTCAGTAATCTGTTGTCTTCTCTCATTAATATGCCTGTGTTAGAACTGCTGTCAATCAGTTGCCCAGATTTCTGATTCAAGAGGGGAAAGACGTGCTAAGGCATCCTATATTTACTTTGGCGAACCACGTCTTTTTTTTTTTTTTTTAATTTTTTTTTTTTTTTAATTTTTTTTTTTTTTTTTAATTTTTTTTTTTTTTTAATTTTTTTTTTTTTTAATTTTTTTTTTTTTTTAATTTTTTTTTTTTTTTAATTTTTTTTTTTTTTAATTTTTTTTTTTTTTTAATTTTTTTTTTTTTTAATTTTTTTTTTTTTTAATTTTTTTTTTTTTTAATTTTTTTTTTTTTTTTTTTTAATTTTTTTTTTTTTTTTTAATTTTTTTTTTTTTTTAATTTTTTTTTTTTTTTAATTTTTTTTTTTTTTAATTTTTTTTTTTTTTTAATTTTTTTTTTTTTTAATTTTTTTTTTTTTTAATTTTTTTTTTTTTTTAATTTTTTTTTTTTTTTTAATTTTTTTTTTTTTTTGTCTATGAATAATACAAATTATCATAGAAAATAATTCAGATTTGTATCAGGAAAAATACAGATTTGAATTATAAGCACATTCACTAAAAACTGGGCTCAGAGGAAATGGGCTGCGTTGTGGCGAAGACAGCTGACTAATGGCTGATGTGCGGTGATCCTGGCTTGTGTAAAAGTGCCTCCTCTCCGGGTTTGTGCAGGTGAACTCTCCGGGAGTACAAGCTGTTGAAGGCTGACGTGATCTGCCTTTACCAGAGTTATGCAACTGCCTTTGGTTTGCTTGAATTTCCACAAGTCTAGTTTGTGATTTAAATTTTTGCATGTTTTGAGAAGCATTAAAATGGGGGAAAAGTGCATGATCCCGGGAGAGTCAAAATGCCCTGGATCAGATGATGCTCAGCATTATGCCTCTTGCAGGTTTACCGGTTTCAAGAGATTAAAAACACGGGATGCAAACTGCGTCTCCCAGTGTCTCCGCATCCCTTTTGCAAACGGGTAGAGAGAAGGTGGTTCATCACATGGTGGTCATTGACTGTTGCGGTTTCTTTTCTTTGCAGGACAAAGGCCCTTGTCTTGGAACTTTTGGCAGCTGTTTGCCTTGTCAGAGGAGGGCATGAAATAATTTTATCTGCGTTTGATAACTTCAAGGAGGTACGTTACTCTGCTCTATTAGAATTTGATGCACATGTCGATAGTTCTCTTACATGGCGTTGGCTAGAGTGTTCTTATTCAGCTAAATTTCCTAGATTTCCATAAACTGCAGATATTCCATAAGTCACTTTGAGCTGCAAAGAATCAGACAGTGGTGTTGATGCCATCATTTTGTACACTTTTGCGTAAGAGTCATAATCCCAACAAGATGAATCCAGACTGTGAATTGCTCCCTTTACTTTTTAGTCAGTCAAGATGCGTCCCTGAAGTGGAAAACCAATGGAGATCTTGAGAGCTTTACTCCAGTTCTTCTGTCTCTAAACGCTTTTGTATGTTCTTAGATGAAACAACCAGGAACGGGTATTAGATCTCCCATTTTCAGAGCCATTTACACAAGCCCTTGAAATGCAAAACTCCTCATTTTACTATCAGTAGGAATTTTATTTGTGAAGAAATTACAAAATCAAGTCTCTGTGATGGAACACTGACTGCTGAAATTAATACAGGTATTCCGATAGGCTCAAGTGGAGCAAACCAGTGTCGTTCACAGGTGTGTACGTTCAAGCATATCACATGTTTGCACACAGTGGTTAATGGGATTTGAGAACATTGTATGAAGGTTCAGAAGCACTAGTGTGAGAATCAAGTCCTAGAAAGCTGGTGTTCTAGTTTGTTTTGAATATTGGATATATGTGTGGATTTATTATCAAAGAAAAAATGAATCTAGACTTACCAGCTCAAAAATTGTTAGACTTGATGAGTCCCAACTGGACTGTGTATGAACATGTAGCATGTTTTTCCTTAATGCCGCTGTTGCTATAAGTGGGTTAATGCAGATGATCAACAAGCCAAGTTGTTATTTTTTTTACTTTTTGTGTTTGGGGAATTATTTCTGGTGGGGAGATACGAATCTCTAATTTACATCCACTGTAAATACTTGCATGTCGTAGAGCTGCACCGTAACTGTATTTCTGAGGTGCTCGTCATCATACAGAGCCAGAGCAAAAGGTTTGAAGTAATCTCCAGTGTGGGCCTGTTGTAGAAACCTCAGCTTTGCAAGACCAGACCTGTCCTAAATGTGAGCTGTGTTGTGTATGTAGAGCTACCTGAGGACAGAGGTAATGGAATGGCACGGCTGCTGGCGAGGCTTCCCCGGCTGTGAGGTGGAAGTCGAGTTGGAAGTATTGTGCGACCATGGAGAAAGCCTTGCTTCTGGGTTACACCAGCGGAAGGGATGGTCAGAATATGGAAATAAGACATTCTGCTTCCAGCTGGGGAAAGGTCTGCAGTCCTTTAATGCAGGCACAGAACTGGAACTGGAAATTGTAGTTTGGTTCTTTCATTTATTCACCTGTAGCCTTGGGCAAGCTGCTGGTATCTTTGTCTTCATTTGCACCTTTGTGAAATGAAGGAGTCACGGAAGCCAATGCAGATGAGATTGTTATTAAGAACAATTGGGTAATATGAAAGAAGTGCTTTAAATAGGAAAAACACTGTAAACATGCAAAGTACAATGTTATTATTCCAGGCTTAAATTCTTCTGGCTTATTACTACTCTATTATGGAAGAAATATGACTCATTAGGGAGGACGGTGTGAGGGGTTACAGATAAGTCAGGCAAATGACTACAGCTGAAATAGCACTGGTCAGGACGGTCTGTCAGGGTCATTGAACAGGCCCTTTGCATGTCACGGGGAAGGATGTGTAAAGTCCCATTTGCTCTCTTACCTTCCTGACATCTTTAGTCGAGGTTTTGCTCCTTCATTTTCTTCCAAGTGCTCCATCATCTGTCTTTTCTCCTGCTGACATTCAAAAATTCCTGTGTAACGCATTCAGTTTGTTTGCCATTATTTATTTATTCCATTCCTGTTTGTGTTTGATCAAAGTCATTTGCTATAGTGGAACTGTTGGATGTTGCAGGTGAAGCGGGTGTGCAAGGAGGGGGTTTTACCTTTCTCCATTCTGCGTTTGGCTGTTCTTCTCTTTATCCAATTATACTGCTTATTTCTTGCTCTGTGCTGTTGTTTTCCAGTTTCCTCCTGGGCAAGTTTTCAGTAATGGTTTCAAGTCTTCGTGTTTAGAACTCATTCAACTGGTATATTAAAAATCTCTGAGTTGCTGACATGTAAAGTATCCAGGGTTAGATTTCTAGCAGTATACTTCCAATTTAAATTACTGTAAGCTCAGTAATATTTGTGTGGCTTCTGTAACTATGCGTTGCAGGGCTGCCACAGCTTCTCTGTGGTTCTTTCATTAGACACTCTGTGCATATTTAGGACAGATTAGACTTGTTGAACTAGATCTCTGCCACTCTATCTCCTTGCCATAAAATAACTTCAGAAGAAACCTGAACTCCTGCCTAACAGTCACCCTGTAATAAAGTCAGTAGGGAAAACAGGATGTTTTGGACCAAATTCTGCTCTCTTTTACATCAGGGTGAACATCAAATATTTCATTAGGCTTTGAGCTTTGCTCTGATGTAAATGAGAACAGAATTTGGTTCTCAGGGTCTGACTGAGCTGGAAGACTGCAGTTGATCTGAATCTTGTCAAGAATTCTTTTTGAAAATGACTTTTCATTTGAAAACGATTTTACAGGCCTGACTGAGCCGGAAGACCGCAGTTGATCTGAATCTTTTTGAAAATGACTTTTCATTTGAAAACGATTTTACAGGCCAATCTTTTTCTGGCTGGGGTCAGGATATTCAAATGGAGAATGGTTTGTCTCTTGAACTGTCTCTTGAAAATTATTCTTGTCCAGTTATTTCACCTGAAATCATTGATTCTTGTGCACGGGTTGTTTCTCTTCGCAGGGGACTCAGCTCTGTGTGTTACAGGCACAGCCCAGTGCTCGCTTTTCAGTACAGGGTTAAGATCATGTTGAACAGGTCGCTTCTGAACACAGAAACATGAGGACATTTCAAAGCTACCAAGAAGTTTACAACAAACCAGGAGCTTGAGATGGAATTGAATAAAGCAGAACTGAACAGGAAAAGAAAATCCAGAACTGTTGTTACTGATTGGGGAATGGAGACCAGGAGAGGGAAGGAGTAGTTTGGGGTGGGTGGAAGGAAAGGCAGGTGTTTTATGCAAAGTTCATTAGAGTTGAGGAGACCAGGGTTCACGCAGTCGTGCTGGTGGTAGGAAGCACGAGCCCCCTGTTTCAGTCCGGTGCGTGGCAGAGCTGTTGAATACTTTTTTTTTTTTAAAATTTTACCAAAAGGCAGGAAACGGTTACAATGAAATCCTCATCCGTATTGTATGGAATGAATCAATAATTTTAAGGGAGATATCAGTGTTAGTTTCTCATCCATCTTTGTATTTCTCCTTTGCATTCCCTGTAATGTTGAAGGAGTTTGCATGTTGAGTACAAGCAGGGGACGGTTTAGGTCAGTCTCTCGTGGTGCACTTGTGTGCTTTCTGCAGCCTGCTCTACGTTTTGGGAACTATCCGGCATTGACAGAACGGCAACTTCCAGCTCTCCGAGAGAGAAATGCCCCAAATGTTCACGCAAATTCTGGGTTCGGTCATTCCTTCCAGGTCAGTGCACACGTTAGGAGAATCATCCCCAGTTTCCAGCCTAAATTCAGCTCATCCGTTTTCAGGTCTTGCTCTGGGCTAAACAGGAAAGAAAGTGCAAATAAAACTGCAAAGACCCTGTCCCTGCTTGTTCCTGGGCAAGGTGGATTTTTAAACCACCCCGTGTTTCTCTTTTTGAAGATGTTATTTTCATGACTCTCATCGCTTTTGAAGTCCAGATGCTGCTTAGCCTCTACGTAAAGAAAAGCCTCAGCAGCCCGGCTAAGTTCATACTTGCAGGATGGTCAGATCCTAGTTATGAGGAGCTCCACTAGCCGGGAAGGCCCGCAGATGTTTTGGTTTTCCTGCAGCTGCTCTCGGTGTCATCAGGCCTCAAACAGCTTCTGAAAGGTCCCGGAGCAGGAGTGTGAGGAGGTTGTGGTGGCGCTGGAGGCTGCCGCTCAGCAAGCGGCTCCGGGTGTGCTCCGGCCACCTGCCCTCTGCAGCTGGAACACCTCCTTTTTCTGAGTGATGCTTGACTGAATTCTGCTGTATTTATGGGGAATAGTTTAGAGTTACTGTGCCACAGGTAACCCACCAGAATGGCTGGGGCGTTTGCCTATTCCCTTATCTTTTTGATACTTTCTGGCCTGTTGCCGGTTCTGTTTGCAGCCACCTCTTATTCCCAGCACCTTGCACTGAAGGCAAATGCTGCTTGACTGGGATATCGCAGCCTTGGCTGGGTGAGCTCTTCGGCACGGCCGCGACCCCTGCCTTTACCCGCTTGCCAGTGGGCTTCCTTAGCAGTGTTCCTGGCTCTTTGTGCTTGTTTCCATGGATTTGTGAGAACTGGCTACGTGGTTTTATCCGAGTTGCCTGGGATTTGTGTTGCAGGACGAGCAACCGCACTTCAGCAGAATGCCAGGGGAAGAAAAGGAGAGCGGAGTTAGCCACAAGACAGCTTTGGGGGAGCTCCGAGGGTCACAGACCAGATGCTAAAAGCTTGTGCCCCATTTAACTTGAAGCAGGCTGAGTGCACTGTTGGAAAACAAGATATATTTTCCTAATGCTTATTCAGAGTAGTTAATTCATTTTAATAGTGTGATTGCATGTGTGGGTATACAGAGACTTAAGCTGCCGTCTTTTACTGCCAACAATAGAACTTTTGTTTTACTATTTCATTGCTTACTGCCCTTACTGTTTCCTGGAAATGCTCTTTCGAATTGGCAAAGGCGCGTTGTGCTGGAGCTTAGGCACATCGGTGTCCTGGTGAGTCTGCCCGTGGCCATCAGAAATGGTGAGAGCCAGCACGGTGCAAGTGTGTGGCTTCTCACACACTTCTGCTCACTTCACATAGACGTGGCGTGGAGACGGTGCTGCTTAAACCACAGCATAGCCACGCAGTGGTAACTCACTCAGGACCCAAGACGAGCATCGTTCCAAAGCTGCCCTTGCTCTCTGTCATTTTACTGACATCTTGCC